TAAGATATAATTAAGATTGCTGATAGCCTCCTAAAGAATTCAGTTTGTTATTCTCTCCAACAACAAAAGAATCAGAAAACGGAAACGAAGAGGGAAATACAAAACAACAAGAAAATTACAAGATTAACTGTTGAAGCTTGCAAATCTCGAAAGTGTACATGCACAGAGGAGATTGGGACCGAATTCTGCTACAATCTACATCTCTTGGTATAAATTTGTGTAGGCAATTCATATCAATTAAGATATAATTAAGATTGCTGATAGCCTCCTAAAGAATTCAGTTTGTTATTCTCTCCAACAACAAAGGAATCAGAAAGCGGCAACGAAGAGAGAAATACAAAACAACAAGAAAATTACAAGATTTAACTGTGGAAGCTTGGCAAATCTCAAAAGTGTACATGCACAGAGGAGATTGGGATCGAATTCTGCTAGAATCTACATCTCTTGGTATAAATTTGTGTAGGCAATTCATATCAATTAAGATATAATTAAGATTGCTGATAGCCTCCTAAAGAATTCAGTTTGTTATTCTCTCCAACAACAAAAGAATCAGAAAACGGAAACGAAGAGGGAAATACAAAACAACAAGAAAATTACAAGATTTAACTGTTGAAGCTTGCAAATCTCGAAAGTGTACATGCACAGAGGAGATTGGGACCGAATTCTGCTACAATCTACATCTCTTGGTATAAATTTGTGTAGGCAATTCATATCAATTAAGATATAATTAAGATTGCTGATAGCCTCCTAAAGAATTCAGTTTGTTATTCTCTCCAACAACAAAGGAATCAGAAAGCGGCAACGAAGAGAGAAATACAAAACAACAAGAAAATTACAAGATTTAAATGTTGAAGCTTGCAAATCTCAAAAGTGTACATGCACAGAGGAGATTGGGACCGAATTCTGCTACAATCTACATCTCTTGGTATAAATTTGTGTAGGCAATTCATATCAATTAAGATATAATTAAGATTGCTGATAGCCTCCTAAAGAATTCAGTTTGTTATTCTCTCCAACAACAAAGGAATCAGAAAGCGGCAACGAAGAGAGAAATACAAAACAACAAGAAAATTACAAGATTTAACTGTGGAAGCTTGGCAAATCTCAAAAGTGTACATGCACAGAGGAGATTGGGATCGAATTCTGCTAGAATCTACATCTCTTGGTATAAATTTGTGTAGGCAATTCATATCAATTAAGATATAATTAAGATTGCTGATAGCCTCCTAAAGAATTCAGTTTGTTATTCTCTCCAACAACAAAAGAATCAGAAAACGGAAACGAAGAGGGAAATACAAAACAACAAGAAAATTACAAGATTTAACTGTTGAAGCTTGCAAATCTCGAAAGTGTACATGCACAGAGGAGATTGGGACCGAATTCTGCTACAATCTACATCTCTTGGTATAAATTTGTGTAGGCAATTCATATCAATTAAGATATAATTAAGATTGCTGATAGCCTCCTAAAGAATTCAGTTTGTTATTCTCTCCAACAACAAAGGAATCAGAAAGCGGCAACGAAGAGAGAAATACAAAACAACAAGAAAATTACAAGATTTAACTGTGGAAGCTTGGCAAATCTCAAAAGTGTACATGCACAGAGGAGATTGGGATCGAATTCTGCTAGAATCTACATCTCTTGGTATAAATTTGTGTAGGCAATTCATATCAATTAAGATATAATTAAGATTGCTGATAGCCTCCTAAAGAATTCAGTTTGTTATTCTCTCCAACAACAAAGGAATCAGAAAGCGGCAACGAAGAGAGAAATACAAAACAACAAGAAAATTACAAGATTTAACTGTGGAAGCTTGGCAAATCTCAAAAGTGTACATGCACAGAGGAGATTGGGATCGAATTCTGCTAGAATCTACATCTCTTGGTATAAATTTGTGTAGGCAATTCATATCAATTAAGATATAATTAAGATTGCTGATAGCCTCCTAAAGAATTCAGTTTGTTATTCTCTCCAACAACAAAAGAATCAGAAAACGGAAACGAAGAGGGAAATACAAAACAACAAGAAAATTACAAGATTTAACTGTTGAAGCTTGCAAATCTCGAAAGTGTACATGCACAGAGGAGATTGGGACCGAATTCTGCTACAATCTACATCTCTTGGTATAAATTTGTGTAGGCAATTCATATCAATTAAGATATAATTAAGATTGCTGATAGCCTCCTAAAGAATTCAGTTTGTTATTCTCTCCAACAACAAAGGAATCAGAAAGCGGCAACGAAGAGAGAAATACAAAACAACAAGAAAATTACAAGATTTAAATGTTGAAGCTTGCAAATCTCAAAAGTGTACATGCACAGAGGAGATTGGGACCGAATTCTGCTACAATCTACATCTCTTGGTATAAATTTGTGTAGGCAATTCATATCAATTAAGATATAATTAAGATTGCTGATAGCCTCCTAAAGAATTCAGTTTGTTATTCTCTCCAACAACAAAGGAATCAGAAAGCGGCAACGAAGAGAGAAATACAAAACAACAAGAAAATTACAAGATTTAACTGTGGAAGCTTGGCAAATCTCAAAAGTGTACATGCACAGAGGAGATTGGGATCGAATTCTGCTAGAATCTACATCTCTTGGTATAAATTTGTGTAGGCAATTCATATCAATTAAGATATAATTAAGATTGCTGATAGCCTCCTAAAGAATTCAGTTTGTTATTCTCTCCAACAACAAAAGAATCAGAAAACGGAAACGAAGAGGGAAATACAAAACAACAAGAAAATTACAAGATTTAACTGTTGAAGCTTGCAAATCTCGAAAGTGTACATGCACAGAGGAGATTGGGACCGAATTCTGCTACAATCTACATCTCTTGGTATAAATTTGTGTAGGCAATTCATATCAATTAAGATATAATTAAGATTGCTGATAGCCTCCTAAAGAATTCAGTTTGTTATTCTCTCCAACAACAAAGGAATCAGAAAGCGGCAACGAAGAGAGAAATACAAAACAACAAGAAAATTACAAGATTTAACTGTGGAAGCTTGGCAAATCTCAAAAGTGTACATGCACAGAGGAGATTGGGATCGAATTCTGCTAGAATCTACATCTCTTGGTATAAATTTGTGTAGGCAATTCATATCAATTAAGATATAATTAAGATTGCTGATAGCCTCCTAAAGAATTCAGTTTGTTATTCTCTCCAACAACAAAGGAATCAGAAAACGGAAACGAAGAGGGAAATACAAAACAACAAGAAAATTACAAGATTTAACTGTGGAAGCTTGCAAATCTCAAAAGTGTACATGCCAGAGGAGATTGGGACCGAATTCTGCTAGAATCTACATCTCTTGGTATAAATTTGTGTATGCAATTCATATCAATTAAGATATAATTAAGATTGCTGATAGCCTCCTAAAGAATTCAGTTTGTTATTCTCTCCAACAACAAAAGAATCAGAAAACGGAAACGAAGAGGGAAATACAAAACAACAAGAAAATTACAAGATTTAACTGTTGAAGCTTGCAAATCTCGAAAGTGTACATGCACAGAGGAGATTGGGACCGAATTCTGCTACAATCTACATCTCTTGGTATAAATTTGTGTAGGCAATTCATATCAATTAAGATATAATTAAGATTGCTGATAGCCTCCTAAAGAATTCAGTTTGTTATTCTCTCCAACAACAAAGGAATCAGAAAGCGGCAACGAAGAGAGAAATACAAAACAACAAGAAAATTACAAGATTTAACTGTGGAAGCTTGGCAAATCTCAAAAGTGTACATGCACAGAGGAGATTGGGATCGAATTCTGCTAGAATCTACATCTCTTGGTATAAATTTGTGTAGGCAATTCATATCAATTAAGATATAATTAAGATTGCTGATAGCCTCCTAAAGAATTCAGTTTGTTATTCTCTCCAACAACAAAAGAATCAGAAAACGGAAACGAAGAGGGAAATACAAAACAACAAGAAAATTACAAGATTTAACTGTTGAAGCTTGCAAATCTCGAAAGTGTACATGCACAGAGGAGATTGGGACCGAATTCTGCTACAATCTACATCTCTTGGTATAAATTTGTGTAGGCAATTCATATCAATTAAGATATAATTAAGATTGCTGATAGCCTCCTAAAGAATTCAGTTTGTTATTCTCTCCAACAACAAAGGAATCAGAAAGCGGCAACGAAGAGAGAAATACAAAACAACAAGAAAATTACAAGATTTAACTGTGGAAGCTTGGCAAATCTCAAAAGTGTACATGCACAGAGGAGATTGGGACCGAATTCTGCTACAATCTACATCTCTTGGTATAAATTTGTGTAGGCAATTCATATCAATTAAGATATAATTAAGATTGCTGATAGCCTCCTAAAGAATTCAGTTTGTTATTCTCTCCAACAACAAAGGAATCAGAAAACGGAAACGAAGAGGAAAATACAAAACAACAAGAAAATTACAAGATTTAACTGTGGAAGCTTGCAAATCTCAAAAGTGTACATGCCAGAGGAGATTGGGACCGAATTCTGCTAGAATCTACATCTCTTGGTATAAATTTGTGTATGCAATTCATATCAATTAAGATATAATTAAGATTGCTGATAGCCTCCTAAAGAATTCAGTTTGTTATTCTCTTCAACAACAAAGGAATCAGAAAACGGAAACGAAGAGGGAAATACAACACAACAAGAAAATTACAAGATTTAAATGTTGAAGCTTGCAAATCTCAAAAGTGTACATGCACAGAGGAGATTGGGACCGAATTCTGCTACAATCTACATCTCTTGGTATAAATTTGTGTAGGCAATTCATATCAATTAAGATATAATTAAGATTGCTGATAGCCTCCTAAAGAATTCAGTTTGTTATTCTCTCCAATAACAAAGGAATCAGAAAACGGAAACGAAGAGAGAAATACAAAACGACAAGAAAATTACAAGATTTAACTGTTGAAGCTTGCGAATCTCAAAAGTGTACATGCCAGAGGAGATTGGGACCGAATTCTGCTAGAATCTACATCTCATGGAATCTACATCATGAAAGGATTGCTTCCGTCGTGTCTACTGAAAGAATTGTACTCGCGAAGGCGTCTTGGACGTCTTATTTTCGTTGTAACGCGTACCTTGATGACGCCCACGGCGACGGTCTGACGCATATCGCGAACAGCGAAGCGTCCCAGCGGCGGGAACTCCTGGAACGCCTCGACGCACATCGGTTTGGTCGGCTGCAGCATCACGATGGCGGCGTCCCCGCTCTTGATGCTCTTTGGATTCTCCTCGGTGGTCTTCCCTGTACGGCGATCGCACCTCTCCTTGATCTCCGCGAACTTGCAGGCGATATGGGCGGTGTGGCAGTCGAGGACGGGCGTGTAACCGTTGCTGATCTGCCCGGGATGGTTCAGGACGATCACCTGCGCCGTGAAATCGGACGCCCCCCGCGGTGGCTGGTTCTTCGAGTCGCCCGCCACGTAGCCGCGTCTCAGCTCCTTCACGGAGATGTTTTTCACGTTGAAGCCGACGTTGTCCCCGGGCAGTGCCTCCGTGAGCGCCTCGTGGTGCATCTCCACCGACTTCACCTCGGTGATCAACGCGGCCGGGGCGAAAGTCACCAACATACCTGCAAAAAGAATCATTTCTTTCTAGATATTTCAATTTGAAATGTGTCTGTGCTTGCAGAGACTCCGTAAACATTGTTTTGATATTTTCACTCCCTTCTGAGATATTCCAAAGAGCCCAGTTAAAGAAGACGCTACAGTCAACCTGGCAGTCAAAGTGTTAAAAGAAGAACCCCTCTATCTTTACGATACCATCTTTCTAACGATGTTTGTACCTGGTTTGAGGATGCCAGTCTCCACACGACCGACCGGTACGGTGCCAATGCCGCCGATCTTGTAAACATCTTGAAGAGGCAGACGTAGGGCCTTGTCGGTGGGTCTGGACGGCGGCAAGATGGCGTCGAGGGCCTCGATGAGGGTTTTACCGTCCGCGTTCCCGTCTTTGCGGCCCACTTTCCATCCCTTGTACCAAGGCGTCTTTGGCGACGGTTCGAGCATGTTGTCGCCGTGCCATCCGGAGATCGGTACGAACGCGACCGACGCGGTGTTGTAGCCGATCTTCTTGATGTACGACGACACCTCTTTCTTGATCTCCTCGAAACGGCTCTCCGAGTACGGTGGATCGGTCATGTCCATCTTGTTCACGCCGACGATCAGCTGTTTCACGCCGAGCGTGAACGCGAGCAACGCGTGCTCGCGAGTTTGTCCGTTCTTCGAGATACCGGCCTCGAACTCGCCGATACCAGCCGCCACGATAAGCACGGCGCAATCCGCTTGGCTCGTCCCTGCCATCAACAATTTAGTTAACGTTATTGTACCGTGGGACTTACAAGTAACACAAAAAAAATCAAGACACATATTAAAGTTACAAAAACACTTTCTAGAAGCTCAGAAACGAGTTAATTTTAGTAACGACATCTTTGAAATCACATCTTTTATACTCTTTAATATGCTTCACGAGACAAGATGGCGTAAGGTGTACTTACACCATTATGGTTCCAAGTGCTTTGCTAACTTTGTTTAGTGACAAAGTATGAACTTACAAGTAAATCAATTTTTATGATAAATAGAAGACAGCTTGAAAGTTTCAACTCAAATTTGAAGAATTTGGACTCACACCACTGTGGCTCTGAACTCGCCAAACGTTGTCGTTGAGATCGGTTATCCTGAAATTTATCTCTATCTAACAAGTAACACTACTCAACTGATACTCACTGATTTGAATGAAATTTAACGTACTTATTAAACACCGAAAAATATTAAATACATGTTTTTTTGTTTCGGCTCAATACGCTTTTTAGGGTTAGAAAGCACCCCTCAACCTCTGGAGATGGAAACGATTGTGGCTAAACATTTCTTAAAGGATACAGTTTCTGAAAAAAGTACTAAATTCAGAGTTGTACAGTTCAGAGTAATGCACTTGATGGCGTCCTTGAAATCGACCTTGAGGTCGATTTTCAAGGTCATTTGAAAATCATTTCATGTTTATCGAAGGGAGTATTTTGCTTTTCACCCCGAGAATCGATAGAGCGTAAAATTTTACATTCATTGTCAGAGCGTTGATGGTTTGTAAACGAAACAAACTTCTGCAATTTAAAATTGTTTATTGATTCAACCAATTAAGGCAAGATCAGTCAATAATTCGATCAATAAAGAAATTAAAAGTTAATTATTCATTCAAATAAGGTAAGACGTGTGATCGAGATCCAGCCAGTGAAGGCAACATTTCATAATTTCTTTTCACATATGGCTATGAATATAAATTCCATGGTAATTGGCATTATTCTTTATATTCATGACAATAATGAGGAATAGCTTTATCTTCTATTGCAAAAAAAATGCTTCATACACAGAGAGTTAGTACACCACGCACATTTTATTACTGCAATGTTATTGCAGATTTTTCCAAAGTTACTTACAAAACTTTTTCCTCCATATTTTTTCTATAAATTTGAGCCTATTTTCCCATAACGTCTGATTTTTCCTTTTTTGGGAAAATAACGCAACAAATCAATTTTGAAGACAGATTAGAGTCATCGCATAAAATTACTGATTATAAATACCGGATGCGCTCAAGATCCAGCAACTGCTAAATCCGGCCAGTCCGGTTATTATTTCCAAATTTAATTGACCTTGAAAATCGACATAAGGTCGATTTCAAGAACGCCATCACAAGTGCATCACTCTGAACTGTACAACTCTGGATCTAGTACTTTTTTCAGAAACTGTATCCTTTAAGAAATAATTAGCCACAAACGTTTCCATCTCCAGAGGTTGAGGGGTGCTTTCTACCCCTAAAAAGCGTATTGAGCCGAAACAAAAAAACACGTATTTAATATTTTTCGGTGTTTAATAAGTACGTTAAATTTCATTCAAATCAGTGAGTATCAGTTGGGTAGTGTTACTTGTTAGAGATAAATTTCAGGATAACCGATCTCAACGACAACGTTTGGCGGGTTCAGAGCCACAGTGGTGTAAGTCCAAATTCTTCAACTTTGAGTTGAAACTTTCAAGCTGTCTTCTATTTATCATAAAAATTGATTTACTTGTAAGTTCATACTTTGTCACTAAACAAAGTTAGCAAAGCACTTGGAACCATAATGGTGTAAGTACACCTTACGCCATCTTGTCTCGTGAAGCATATTAAAGAGTATAAAAGATGTGATTTCAAAGATGTCGTTACTAAAATTAACTTGTTTCTGAGCTTCTAGAAAGTGTTTTTGTAACTTTAATATCTGTCTTGATTTTTTTTAAGCAACGAACTCAATTTACGCAAAATAGTTAAAATGTGACTTGCACCACTATGGCTTTCAACCCGCCATTTGCAAGTTTTTCCACTGATAAATTAGAGGGAATCTTGTGTATAGTTTCGAACCCTAGTACCAGTTTGAAAGAATCGAATCTCGTTTACTCGCCACTAATACATAAGTATGATACAATTAAAAATTACAAGTACAAAGTACTTTATCGTTTTGGTCCCAGTATTTTAACGAATTTTATCCTTGATTATCTTTGCAAGAATACAATATTTACGAATAGTATTTTCCAAATGTTAGAAGAAAGAGCCATTGTCCGTTTAAAAATAATTGTGGTCGTTGAGAAGAATTGAAAAGAGTAAGCTTTGCATGGATCGTTTCTATCTTCTACCGAAAAGAATGTACTCGATCGAGGTTCGATTGTACTTGAGTCCATCTCGTGTCTAGGTTCGAGTACCCTCGACAGTGTCTCTCGAGATTTTCCAAAGTATTCGCGAAGGGTTCGAAACTTCTCCTCGTATCGTCCTCGATTGTCGCTTTGCAGATAAAAGCAACGGTTTCTACTTTTTTCGAAGAGGTTGCGTGCAAATTCCCAGGCTACCTGTGATCATATTTTTGATGAAATCGCGATGTCCTGGGGCGTCGATGATCGTGACGTAGTACTTGGCAGTTTCGAACTTCCAGAGGGCGATGTCGATCGTGATGCCTCGTTCACGTTCCGCTTTCAGCTTGTCCAGCACCCAGGCGTACTTGAACGAACCTTTGCCCATCTCCTGGGCCTCCTTCTCGAACTTCTCGATGGTACGCTTGTCGATGCCACCGCATTTGTAGATCAGATGCCCGGTCGTGGTGGACTTGCCCGAGTCTACGTGGCCTATCACCACGATGTTTATGTGAATCTTCTCCTTACCCATGCCTACGCTTCAGTCACCTGCGTGGAGGAGCAGAGAAAAGTGAAAACTCGTCTATCGATCCCTCGGGGGCAGCTCTGGGGGCGGTCACTTAAGGGGGACAATTATTTTCAGCTTTCGCGATGTTCTTTGTCGAGTTACTTCGTAACAAATAACTGCAGACTGGAAACACTTGAGTTGTTAAACATAGAACATCCCAGGAACTATTTCGAGTTAGGAATTATATTGATAGAATTGAGATTATATGACATATACAAGGGTTAGGCCAACTCTGGGAAAAATTTTAGTGGAAGATTCTAGAGGCGAAAATAAGACGAAAATCAAGAATACTAATTTGTTGATTGAGGCTTCGTTAAAATGTTATTAATTTTTCGGCGAAATTAAAAAATTTCAAATCATTCTGAAAAAATTATTTTCGGCTGTGGGAGTTAATTGCAATCATTTTTGGTGAATAGACAGATCCCCGAAATCGTACGTGCTTTCGAGAAAAAAAATTGAGGAGGTGCCTAAATTTTTCGGCGAGAATACAACATTTCAAATCATTCTGAAAAAATTATTTTCAGTTGCGGGGGTCCATTATAATCGTTTCTGGTGAATAGACACATCCCCGAAATCCTACGCGCTTTCGAGAAAAAAATTGAGGAGCTGCCTAAATTTTTCGGCGCAAATAAAAAATTTCAAATCGTTCTGAAAGAAATATTTTCAGTTGCGGGGGCCCATTATAATCGTTTTTGGTTTATAGACATATCCTCGAAATCCTGCGCACTTTCGAGAAAAAAATTCATTACTGAAAATACAATGCCTGACCATCCATTGATAAATTCCCCTGAAATTTCATGCGTATGTTTAAAAAATCATAACTCCTGAACGGATTGGACGACTTTAATATTTCATAAGGCAATTTCACGCGTATTTTAGTCAAGAATATGTAGAAATTATAAGAATACTGGAAAAGTTGTTCCTTAACACAATAAAGTTAAAAAAAGCCCCATAAAAGTGGTGCAATATTCGAACGACCATAATTCTTAGAATAGTGAATATATTTCAATGGAATTTTTTTCTGAAGTAAAGCCCACGGATACCTACAAAAAAGTATTAGACAATTTTTCTATAGAGCGTCAAACAAATTTAATAAAAATAAAAAGCGAATTCTTAAGAAAAATCGACAAGGGGGTAGGTGCTGAAATTGAAAAGTTTCAAATCATTCTGGAAAAATTATTTTCTGTTGCGGGGGTCAATTACAATCATTTTTGTTGAATAGACATACCCCCGAAATCCTACGCACTTTCGAGAAAAAAATTCGTGTAGGCGGACAAATTTTATTAATAATTTTGTTAACAACTTTTTAACGAAACCTCAATCAACAAATTGGTATTCTTCATTTTTATCTTATTTTGGCCTCTAGAGTCAGTCATTAAAATTTTTCCCACGGGTAGCTGAACGAACACTTTGTATACAGTTACTCCCACGCTATAATGATGATTTCACTGTAAATTCACTTCTTTGTTTATTAGGAATTCTTTTATTTTTACCAAATACTGTTTATTATACTCTGTGTTACTTCTATTTACGAAGTAGTTTTTTTAACATTGACGAACAAGTGTAATGTCAAATTGCAAATTACAATTAACCCCCGCTTAGACAAACAAAATTCAAATCGAATTAATTTTATATGGTAATCTTTGCAATACTATTCCGTGTACATGAGTAAACTACCTTTACATACAGTTGAAAATATCGTACGATATTTAAACCATTATTATTACATAATGTGTACACATTCGTGTTGGTAATTCATATGAATTTTATGTAGATATTTGTTAATTATCTAAAGTAGCTTTTTTTTAAATATTGAATGGCATGTAATGGAGCAGTCACAAACCCCATAGAGAGGTATATATAATATAAACAATAAACAAATCAACAATACGTGATATTTATATATCTTCCCAAACGGTCACCCATCCCAAAGTTGACCGCTCCCAATGGAGCTGCTGCACTTCGGTGATCGAACGAGAACGAAGCATTCAACGCGGCACGACTCTTCACTAGTGTTACCATTACTTTATTCATACATAAACCCCGTGGATACCTCAATGTATGAAAAAATGGACTCATACAGGTGCTTCGTTTCTAACATAATTGAATTTGAAAATTTATTTCGTAACCCGTGCGATTGAATATAATTTTCCTGGCGCTGTCTGACCATTAACATACTTTTCCACTTATCTCTACATAATCTCTTTAGAAGAACATTAAATAATTTGTCAGTAATACAGAATGCAATTAGCTCCGACCGTGATGCATTTTTATAATTTTAATTACTATAAAGAGATTAATTATTTTTCTTCTTAATATAAGTATATGTCAATATTGTTTTTCTACCGCTTACTATCCGGTTGAATATTCGTGGGTTTGTAGTTTGTACGCTAACTGTTAAACATTAGATTCTTGTACGATAATTGCTGTTCGTATTGATTCTATTAAGCGTTGATTGACCACCGCTGGTATATAGTTTATTCGGTCCGTAATAGCGTTTGGTTGGTACGGTTTCTAGTACGTAATAACATTAAGTATTTAATACCACGTGGCAAAGTCTTCCAATTCAGTCGGTGGTAACACGTATTATTAGACAACTTTATTCTCCCACGTACTTCCGCCTTGTTGTTTTTTCTTTTTTAACAGAAAAATTATCTTATAGACCAAGTGCAAAAGTCTGAAGAATTTAACTACGGTTCGTTGCGGGTCTCACAGTCGAGAGAATATATATCCAAAGGATTATTCGCGATTTCGTTAGCCTACTTCTATTCATTCAATTCGTTCATTACCCGCCATTGTATTGGAAGTTTTTTTCAGCTATGAACCAACCATTCAGACGAAACGTAATTTTATAAAAACTAAAGAGGTTTTAATTTTTTACTTAGAAATACAAAATATAAAGAAATATTTTTAAATACTGAAATATTGATAAAGTAAAACATCATATTCGTACAATTATTATCTGTGGCTAGCAATATTTTTATGTTTATCTTTCGTGAGTGTTTTAAATTTTAGTTAGTCTATTCATTCTATTCGTTCATGGCCCGCCATTGTATTTTTTTTAGCTATTAACCAACTATTCAGACGAAACGTAATTTTACAAAAACTAAAGAAGTTTTAATTTTTAACTTAGAAATACCAAATATAAAGAAGTATTTTTAAATATTGAAATATTGATAAAGAGAAACATCATATTCGTACAATTATTATCTGTGGCTAGCAATATTTTTATGTTTATCTTTCGTGAGTAGATTTAAATTTTAGTTGGTAAATGATTCGAGTAGAAAGTGACGTTAACTTTTCTGTATCGATAAGATTCGAGATTCGATAACGTGTCGCGAACTGAGTTCGCCGGTATGATTCGTCGCGAGTGTACCCAACGGAATGTCTCTTTCCATTTGCGAATAATTGGTGGTATACGTCATTAGTGATTGACCAGAATTCGATGCCAGGGAATGCTGTTCGTTATCGGGTCGATTGGGCCACGAATACATAGAGAGATTGGTGCCCGATGAGATATCGAGATTGCTTGTCACGACTGACCATACGTAGGCTCGTACTACTAGCACCGCTATAAATTCAAATGAACCAAGTTAGATTGCTTCCAGGGGGAACTTCGTCGCGATAATATTCGATCTCTTTCTTGCAAACTAACGCAATCGCTAACGCTTCGAACTAATTAATCAACCATACCAAAGTCAAAAGAAACATTATTATATATTTCATACGAAACTTGCTCAATTAATATTGTCGAATTATAAATATTCCAAAGGTTAAATTTCAACATATATCATTTGCAAATTCTAAAAATTTTTTACCAATTTAGAAATCACTCAAATCTCTGTACTTGAAGAAACATTATTATATATTTCATACGAAACTTGCTCAATTAATATTGTCGAATTATAAATATTCCAAAGGTTAAATTTCAACATATATCGTTTGCAAATTCCAAAAATATTTTCCCAATGTAGGAATTACTCAAATCTCTGTACTTGAAGAAACATTATTATATATTTCATACGAAGTTTGCTTGTTTAATATTGTCGTATTATAAATATTCCAAAGGTTAAATTTCAACATATATCGTTTGCAAATTCCAAAAATATTTTCCCAATTTAGGAGTTACTCAAATCTCTGTACTTAAAGAAACATTATTATATATTTCATACGAAACTTGCTCGATTAATATAGTCGTATTATAAATATTCCAAAGGTTAAATTTCAATCTATATCGTTTGCAAATTTAAAAAATATTTTCCCAATTTAGAAATCACTCGAATCTCTAGATAATCTCAATGCTTTTGTTATGGCGGAAATGGCCGCCTGTGTGCAACCATTGAACGGGACTTCCCAGTCGTTTATTATGGCGTCGTCATAACAATAGAAAACAAAATACGTTAGAAACTTTTCAATGGAAAAATACGGGCACGGAATTGTAGCCCCTTTAAGAATGAGCCCTTCAAAGTGCCGCCATTTTGTCAATTTTGGAGTATTCCAAGTTTACACGTAAAGTGCAGTAAACTACAGAGTAAAATAATAATTTGTACTTTTCGATCGTGCTCGATATTATCGCTACAACGAGACGTTATTAATAACTCGTTTATTATTAGAGTACACATCGTACTCCAATACAACCAACACAACCCCCTTAAAAATCATCCGATCTAAACACACAAACCACATTTCTGAATTGTTTACCAACACCCAGTTCAAATTTTCCATATTTATCTCACATAGTTCAATCAAAAATATATATTTTAATCCAAATATAGAGCTACAAATATTTACAACCCTTCGAAGCCCGCGTCTCTTCCGGGAGACGTCGAAACGGTTACGCAATCGATTCGAGGGGGATGCTTATTTCCCTAACTTCCGTGCACCAGGATCGCGATCACAAACGGTATACCGGGTCACGCGTCTCGTCACCATCGTCCACACATTCTCTGGGAGGGTTGAATATTCGATTACCGGGGCGTACGTACGCGACTCGTTACCTCGAATCGGATTTAGAAGAGAATTTCTCGCGTCCGACGTAACTCGCGTGCGATCCTCGACACTCGCACCACCACCCCCTCGTGTCACACCGGGCGTACGGGGGTTCGTCGTCGCGATATCGACGCCGTGTATCGGGCGGACAATTAATATTTACGTGTCAACGTAGAGACTGGCTCTCGCGAGCCTCGAAGGGTATTGATTCGGGCGACACGCGGGCCACGTCGAAAATACGAGCACGAGTCGCGAGTGTGCGCGTTTATTCGGACCCCTAAAAAGAAAGAGAGACGCCGAGAGCTGCGAGAGGATCTCACCCCCATGGATACCGGGAACGACCCAATGCAGCGTCCGCGGGATCGATATTACGGAGTCGCTCGAATCGAGACGGACGCATCGATTCATCGAAGCGTTGATAGACCGTCGACCGAACCTCTAATAATAGCAACCGGCGGCCATTTCGCGAGATCAGTAATTACTAGGCTCGCGATTTCGACGGTGTGCGTGGAAACCCGCCCGGAAACGTCACTTTTCAACGCCGGACGCGCGATTGCTCGAGACGAGGGAGGTTAGAGAACGAGAGAAACCGGCGTGTCGAGACTGTCGCGGTGATCGACTTCCTGCGTCACTTACCTCTCGATCGATCGAAGAGATCGCGCGTTGCCTGGTCGGTAACTCGTTGGAATCGTCCCGATATCGCGTACGAATCGCCGACGAGAAAGATACCCGACCGAGCAGCGAACGGTCGCACGTCCTACGGCTCGCGTAATGGCGGCGACAACGAGACGCGCGCACCTCTCGCCGTCTAGCCTCGACGCCTTTCTCTGGGGATGATTTCGACTCGCGTGGCGCGCGACGCCGGGCGAGTATCGAGGCGCGGGACGGAGCTTGTACCGGGTCGAATCGATACGTCGTCGTCGAGCCGGCTCGGGTGTTCCGCGTCCACGGGTGGGGTTAGATTTTTACGATAGATTTTTATGATTTTTACGAGGCGACCGGTTTTGAAAGATAGAGGAAGATTGAGATTATTTTAGTGAATTTTACTCACCGGAATCGACAGGATGGAGGGGCTGTAATGTCCGCGTGTTATCGCACGTATTTCCGTGGTCGCCTGCCAGCCGCTAGGACGGCACAAGATGACGGACACTGTGGGCGGTCAGGGGGAAGGACGAAGCGGGAGCTGCGAGCGCTGGAGGGGGGATGAAGTTGCAGCAGTGATGCCAGAGGGAGTCCCGGGTGCACCGGGGACACCCCATTCCACTTTTTCACAGTATGCCAGATCGGAGAGTCGACAAAGGCAAACTGACACATGCCCTCTTTCTCGATTCTCCGAAGCTGCACGAAGTAATTTCGGACCGTCTCGTGGGAGTCGAGAGAGGAAGGCTCATTTGCCTTCTCGCACTTGAACAACTGAAATTCGAACTCATGTCGACGGCATACGATTCCAAGTCTCGACTGGCTACGTATTTTTTATTTTCCGACCTATGTATGTAGACGAACATAAGCATGATACTATAATGAAAAAAATTTTGTGAAATTTTTCTTACGAAAATACACGTTTTAAGACCCCCTGATCATATTTGAATTATTGAAAAACAATAAATTCATTTTTATTATTCCTATAAATGAGCGTACATATGTATATCATTTCAAATATCACTTCTGATACATCTGGCAACGTATCACCATTACTGCTGACTACTGCCAGCCTCTCGCAGCCTCTGCTGGTTTCTGCTGGCCTCTGCTAACCTCTGCCAACATGTGCGGGCTTCTGCCTGCCTCTGCTGGACCCTGCTGACCACTGCTGACCACACCTAATACTTCCGACAATGTATAACGATTACTACTGGTTACTGCCAGCCTCTCCCAAACTCTGTTGGCCTCTTCTGACCTCCGCTTATATTTCTGACGACGTATAACAATTACGACTGACTTCTGTCAACCTTCGCTGGCCTCCGCTGACCACTGCTGATGCTTCCGACAACGTATAACGATTACAACTTGCCACTGCTTGCCCCTGCTGGTCCCTGCTTGCCACTCCTTGCCACTGCTGGCCTCCGCTGGTCTCCGCTGGCCTCTGCTGACCACTGCTGACCACTGCTGACCACCACCGCTGCTTCCGACAACGTGTGACGATTACTACATGTTACTGCTTGCCCCTTCTGGCTTCTGCTGGCCCCTGCTGACCCCTGCTGGTCCCTGCTGACCCTTGCTGATCCCTGCTGGCCACTGCTGGCCTTTGTTAACAACTTCTGACATGATATATATGTATTAAAACATTGTATAATGTAAATCTATGGCAATAAATGATATAATTAGAAACAATTCTATGTGTTCTCATCATTTTTATCTTTCTTTTTCTCTCCAAATCATTACCTTAGTTGTAAGACTCCCTGAAACTCCTTGGTTTCCCTGAACCCACTAGGAAGTCCTGAAACACCTCGGAAGTCCTGAAACTCAGAACTTTGCTAAAAATTCAGGGGTTCCAAAAATTTTCGGCGTTTCCAAGAAATTCCAGGACTTCCCAATTGTTTCAGGACTTTCCAGTTGTTTCAAGGCTTTCCAATTGTTTCAGGACTTTCCAGCTGGTTTCAAAATTCCAAGGAGTTTCAGGACTTCCCGGTTGTTTCGGGGCTTCCCAGTTGTTTCAGGACTTTCCAGCTGTTTCAGGTCTTTCCAACTGTTTCAGGACTTCCCAGTTGTTTCAGGACTTTTTGTCGAAAAAAATGAATTCTCGATTTTGCCAACAGATACGAGAGTGACGGTTACAGAAAAAAAATTTAAAAGTTAATTTTTGATTTTGGCAGCAAGTACGAGAGCTGGACACTTTGGGAATGCAATTTTAACCGGAAAAACGGTCTCTTAAAACTAAGGCAATGATTTGGAGAGGAAAAGAAAGGCAAAAATGATGAGAACACATAGAATTCTGTTAAATTATATCATTTATTGCCATAGATTTACATTATACAAGGCTTCAATACTTATACATCATGTCAGAAGTTGATATCAAAGGTCAGCAGTGGTCAGCAGTGGTCAGCAGTGGTCGTTAAGGGCCAACAGAGGCCAGCAGAGGGATGCAGAGGCATGCAGAGACCAGCAGTGGCAAGCAGTGACAAGCAGCGGCAAGCAGTAGCCAGTCGTAATCGTTATACGTTGTCAGAAGTAACAGGAGTGGTCAGCAGCAGCCAGTAGAGGCCAGCGGAGGCAGGCAGAAGTCATTAGTAATCGTTATACGCTGTCAGAAATATAAGCGGTGGTCAGCAGAGACCAGCAGAAGCCCGTAGAGGCTAGGAGACGTTGTCAGTAGCCCGTAGTAATCGTTATACGTTGTCAGAAGTATCAGAAGTGGTCAGCAGCGGTCAGCAGAGGCCAGCGGAGGACTGTAGGAAAATTCAAAAGTACATTTAGTCGTACCTTATACTTCAGGTAAAAAGGGGTATAACTAGATAAAACAATTTTATGACATTACCTGCTAACTCAAGTTAGCCACCAGTAAAGGCATGTAGAGATCAGCAATGGTCAGCAGAGGCCAACGGAGGTTGGCAGAAGTCAGTTGTAATTGTTATACGTTGTCAGAAATATAAGCGGAGGTCAGGAGAGGCCAACAGAGGCTGGGAGAGGCTGGCAGTAACCAGTAGTAATCGTTATACGTTGTCGGAAGTATCAGGTGTGGTCAGCAGTGGTTAGCTGGGTCCAGCAAAGGCACTCAGAAGCCCGTACATGCTGGCAGAGGTTAGCAGAAGCCAGCAGAGGCTGTGAGAGGCTGGCAGTAGCCAGCAGTAATGGTTATACGTTGCCAGATGTAGCAGATGTGATATCTGAAATGATATACATATGTACGCTCATATATAGGAATAATAAAAATGAATTTATTGTTTTTCAATAATTCAAACATGATCAGGGGATCTTAAAACGTGTATTTCCGTAAGAAAATATTCACAAAATTTTTTTCATTATAGTATCATGCTTATGTTCGTCTACATACATAGGTCGGAAAATAAAAAATACCTGGCCAGTCGAGACTTTGAATCGTATGCCGTCGTCGTGAGGTCGAATTTCAGTTGTCCAAGAGCGAGAAAGCAAATGTGAGCCTTCCTCTCTCGACTCCCACGAGGCGGTCCGAAATTACTTCGGGCAGCTTCGGAGAATCGAGAAAGAGGGCATGCGTCAGTTTGCCTTTGTCGACTTTCCGTAACTCCACGAGCTCACGTACGCGTGATCTGGCATGGGTGAGTAGGGCACCGTCGGTGCTTTTCTGGCACCTCTGCGGCCTCGGCAGGTAGATTTTGTCAGGACGAGCGATCGAGTGAGCGAAAGGCCACCCCTGAGGAGAGGGATTACGAAAGAGCTATTTCCTAGTACGATTAGACACGTTCTTTGGCGCTGCCTCCTTCGTCCTACTCTGCGTGCGGTCTGCGTTTTCCTGAAAATTCTCGAGCTGCTTCCTAGTTGTTCAGTTCACCGTCCGGGTTACCAATTGTGACGCTGAGTCACTGCGATTAGGAACTCGGTAAATTCGTAGGAGGCAGAAAAGGAAAGGAGGGGGTGCGTTTCGTTCGGGCCTGCTAGTGGACTCATCAGTAAGTCTTTCTAGCAGGCTCTGCTAGAAATGTGGGAATTTTGATCATGTGCACTGGAACGCATGATCACTGCCGTATACACTTAACTAGAATTTAGAGTACCGTTGGATCCTAGTAAGGAACAAAATTTAAGGAAGTTACAGGGAAAGAGACAAAAACAAAAAATTTCCTCTTAACACATTGTTGACCGGCAATTTTACACAGAAACTATAACTATAAATTGAAATAGATAATGCAAGTGCAGTGACGAGTTAACTCGTCATCGCTCAACAAAGTTTGGGCATGAAATGACGAGTTATCTCGTCACCGGTCAACAATGCGTTAATCTACATGAGTGTAACTCTAGAAAAATACGTAGGGGATCTTCGATAAGTTAATTTTTGTGTGATTGGCGAGCATTTGAAGTAGAAAGTTCAATTTTGTACAAAACATGGGAATTCCCAACATGCACCTCTTTTTGCGCTAAAGATACATCTATGGCAGAAAGCTAACGCATGCGCAAAAAGGAATCCCACGAGGGAAAATTCTAGTGCGCATGTCCAAAATTCCCACGAATGCCCGTCACTGTTGGGAAGTCGATCGAGGAATGTATACAGGGTGTTCGGCCACCTCTAGCAAAAATTTTAATGAGCGATAGTAGAGGCCAAAATAAGACGAAAATCAAGAATACTAATTTGTTGATGGAGGCTTCGTTGCAAAGTTATTAACTTTTAAAGTTCCGCCTGTAGAATGACAATCCGCTAAACAGCTGGTTCGCGCGGACGGTTGCGGCAGGCGAGTGCTAGTGGTTCTCGAAAATTTCATTTATCCTGCGATTCCTTTTTACATTTTTAAATTGAAGTGTATTTGAAAAATTAATAACAGTTTTATTCGTAAGTAACTCGGAAGAATCGTGATACACGTACACGTAGACATTTACGAATAACATAATCGCGGTACGTGTTTATTTAATTGCATAGTGGTTAGTGCCTGAAAGGATTATTTGTGGATACTTGTGGACACTGTGGACAATCGTGGGGCGTGTATAATCACATGTGGGTGATTTTTGTTCACAACATTGTGTATTGGAACTGGCATTCACCCTTTCTCTGTGAAAATCTCGTCGGGCGAGTTTTGATATGCCCTTCTGGATTTTCATAAGACAGGTTGAATCTTATTCAACGTAAGGTGTTCGCATTCCCATAAGTGGACAAAAATCTAAGGCTGTCGATAATGTCGGTAAGCAGAATTTTTCATGCTGCGTGAGAACCACTAGCACTCGCCTGCCGCAACCGTCCGCGCGAACCAGCTGTTTAGCGGATTGTCATTCTACAGGCGGAACTTTAAATGTTAATAACTTTGCAACGAAGCCTCCATCAACAAATTAGTATTCTTGATTTTCGTCTTATTTTGGCCTCTACTATCGCTCATTAAAATTTTTGCTAGAGGTGACCGAACACCCTGTATATAGCAACCGAGGGGTCGGTCGAGCGCTTGTGAGAGCGCGACCCCTCTGGCGGCGAGCATGGGAGGCGACGTCACACACGAATGATATGTAACACGGTTGACGATCGTCTTTAGCCCTCGAGAGTCAAGTTTTCGTCTCGTATCGGGTTTCGATTGAACTTGAGACCTCCTCTCGTGGCCCTTACCGGTATCGATTTCACCCCTCGAGTGTTTCGAACGAAATCGCGCGCTCGACGGCCAGCTTGAATTTTCCTAGGAACGTGTCGACGTGACCACGTGTGCTGCCTTTGGCGAAAATAGAACGTTGCAGTCGTCGCAAAGTCACCGCGAGCGAGGTCGAAATTTACTCTGCTAGCCCGAGTGAAAAATTTCTCGTTGGAAAACTGTGATTTCTCGCCACCCTTTGTCCCCGAACAACCCTTGAACAAAAGATGGCTTCCTGTGCGAGCGACTCCGAGGAGGTCAGTGATTAAGAGTTCGTCAAAACAAACGAAGACTGTTTTCTTATTGCAATTTCACCCCACCCACTGTGTCAAATTAATTAAAATCTATCGAACTTTTGTATGGAAGATTTAAATTATTTTAATTTAATAAAAAATTTAATTGAGAACGAATCGAGAGCTCTAATTTGTATGAAATGTGGTAGTAAAATAATAGTAACAACGCGAAGACAAAATGATATGTTCTTAATGGCGACGTAGTACGTGAGGTTTAAAAAAAACTTTGAGTAAACATTACACTGCGCAACGAAAGAATTATTGTTATATGTTTCGGTTATAAATTTAAACTTCGCTATTCGTATATACAAATTCTCTTGGATAAAACAAACAAACAGAGGAAGCATTCCGAAATATATTTGTAATGATTATTCGTCATTTCGATTCAAGAATTTTTATTATTTGTTTATTATACGGGAAAATTTACAGTGTTTCAGTAATGGATTATTCATTTTTCAAGACAAAGAAATTTAAATTTGTTCTTAAAAATTGATCTATTTAATGCCTATCACACCCCCTTATATATAGAATTTTCTTTTTTTGCATTGTTGGAGCACCTCCAAACATTTAGATATAAACTGAATATAAAACTGTCGCCTGGGATTAAATTTTGATCAGTATATTATGGCTGTAGTGATTGAAAGCAATAGTTAAATTTGTGCTCAAGCAACTAATCAAAGAATACTTAAAAAGTACAAATAAGATTAACCTTCCTCGACAGTGTAATTCATTGGTGGTTTTAGGTAAGTACGAAAATTTCTCGTCGCTTTCTGAGTCCATTTCCATGGAACGTCCTGTACGTCTCTCATTCAGGAACGTCCAATTGCCTTTGAAGAACACTTCGTTAATTATCCCCTTGATTAATCGTTGGCTGAACGAACAGTTGTTCAATGACTGTATCTGTTCAGGGTCGGTACAGTGAGCGGGTTTATGATACGAACGTGACTTCTCCGCTATTTTTGAGGATCAGGCCTTCAAGACATTTTTACTTGATAAATTAGGATACGGTCATTAAGGAACCTCCAAACTCCACACGGGACTTGGAATCCTTGGAGCTCTTCTTTGCCTCAATAGCGATTGACGTATCGTAAATTCGTGGGAGCGCACATCTGCAGACCACCGGGGTCTTGGGGGCTTTGACTTTCCCCAAATGTTTATAAAAAAGGCAACGTTCTCGCTCATTCTTATATGGTGTACCTGGACACTAGATGACAGGTTCCTTAATGACCGTCTCCTAATTTGTCAAGTAAAAATGTCTTGAAGGTCTGATCCTCAAAAATTTTGAAGAAATCAAGTCCGTGTCATAAACCCGCTCGCTGTACCGACCCTGAATAGTTAGGAACCGCCTTACCAAGGTGACGACGATGAGGATTGGCTTGACTAATCCTCCCTCCGGTAGGCAATGTTCGTAGTTGTCACCTTGGCAGGGAAAACCGAGGTTTCCCTATGGGAAAAATCAGAACAGAGAGGCAGATTAATCTTCAGGCAGTAACATCTTCAATAGTTAGTCTCCGCAAGAAGTCATTTCTGCGTATCAGAAGCAACAACTTCTGAGGGTCAAGGTACAGGGTAGGAGCACAGAGTGGCTGTGCAATACGCAACGACCACGAGCAACATTTGTTAAACATTCGAATATTTGTTCGTGGCCGAAACAGTATCAGTCTACCTTGCATATGATGCGTAGGACAGCGAAGCGTTGTTGAAACAAACAGCGGGGTCCCATCGTGTGTCAGCTTTCGCAGCCTGCTCACTTCGAATGCTTCTTTGAGCAAACAGAAGAGAAATTGATTAAACGGAAGTGAAATTTTTGCTGTTTTAACGAACTCGAGGGCAGCTGTGGTTCGACGCTGAAATACCAAACACTGGTTGACTGGACGTAGAACTCACTTTAACGCATTTTTATTAAAACTTTCCTATAGGACAGGTGATTTTAATGATATAGAAACGTCAGATGTAACATTTCCTTTAAGAAAAGTAAGAATGGTTCAATTTTGTATCATTCACACGAGACTACCCCCTTAAAATTTTTCTATAGCACAGGTGATTTTAATGATATAGAATTCCTTCAATATGTGTGTACTAAAAATGTGAAGTATTTTTGTAATTAATATGTTTTATTGCAATTTTCAAGAATTATATGTGGATACTATTAGAATTATTTTCTCGTGTTATCGGAGAAATTACTAAAAAAGCACACACTTGTCGTAAAACGAGAATACTGTGTTAAATCGTGTGTTAATAATCATGTATCTTGGATAATTACAGAAGCAAAAAAATGTTGCCTTTGCATTATTGTTAATAACGAGGCAGAAATATTTCGAAAGTAACAACCACATCGCGACTGTCTGATGAATGGACCCAATCTGTTTTGGCCGTCTGTCAGACTGCTGTTGATGCCAATGAATTAACTCACATAAGCGTAGGTACAGATTCTACGTGATATTTACGAAATATCATACCTGAATATTAGAGATGCAAAAATCGCGTGCATCGAATCATAGCGTTTTTTCCGTTTGGACAGTTTCGACGAAACGCGGATATTCATGCTTTTAAAGGAATTTCTCGGTTCCATGACCCATATCCCGTGGAATCGACGATTCCGACTCACCAGAAACACCTTGTTTGTTTATCTTCCGGAACGGATATCCGCGAGACGGGCCGTTCCGACGCGATTTGCCGCGCGAATCTCGTCGATTCGTCGTTCCGTGGAAGCCAAACCCGTGACGCGGAGGAGCGAAAATATCGTCCATGGACTCGAAATAGCCAACCCAGAAAGTCACGATTTCCGTGTCCGTTCGACATCCGCTCGTTTTCTCGTCGATATCGTCCGTTATTTCGATGAACACGATATTTTTGTCGTCGTGCTTCCGTAGACCATCTTCCAGCACTATAATTGGGCATCACTCGCCTCGTTGATATTAGGGTCAGTGTAGGCTCCCACTATGTTCGTGTAGCCGTTTTATTTAGTAAACAGAAGGTTCAATACTATTTACAACACTTGAATTTAATTACAAATATGTACATGTGTTAACAGTTTAATTTTCAATGTTCTTACTGGTGTTCTTATGGAGTTCTTGTCTTATTCTAACTTGTAAAGTCCTATGCCCCGCGATTTTATACATATTCCAAGATAGGTGGAGACCTTGTGCATCCAATCAAACACCTGCCCATCCCTCGTGGGCCAGTTCTCAGATATTCGAAATCCCACCCACTGAGGGTGGTATAGGGGTGGGTGTTTCGGCCACGAAGCACTATGCCCACGTGCTATGTACTGCGCGGACCGTGCGTATTACACAGTTCTGTACTGTGTTCCCTTTCCTTGTGTTCGAAGGACCACCCAAACTGGTGTTTGAGAAAATATCGATAACTGTAGCCCGTTGCACTTCGTGTTACGCAAGAGTATGAAACGTCTTGTGGAGAGTCTAGTCGAGTTCGTAAGTCTCGATCAAAAACGAATCTAATCCGAAAACTTAATGCTATCCTCAACCTAAGCTCAGCTTCCCCTATCAAGGTGACGAAAACGCGCAGCGCTAACCATTTCACATTAGGTCAACTGACCCCACGAAAAGGCTCAATTTCATTTGCTCAAATCGACCTCCTGATTGACAAGGAGCCATTATCCAAAGGCAGTATTTGTTAGCGAAACTCATTTTTTGCGAATATATTTCGTCCACGAATGTCACAAGAGTGAGGCGTGGGTCTACATAGACCCTAAATAAAATCGCGTTAGTATTAAATGCGTCTTGCCCGAAATTCCGATCTCGAGACATAGCTTTACACTCGAGATTCTCGATCCAAGGCACGCGAGACGCGCGTGAATCGTCGACGTTCCGTCCGCTAGCGCCACGAAACGCAGTTGACATTTTCTTGGTCCTCTGAACGCCAGGAAAACGTTCGCAAAGAACGCGGGATCAACATTGCGACAGCTAACAGTGTCAACGACACGCGCGCGACACTCGTCCGACGGAGTTCGAAGATTTTCATTGCGACAACCGAGCGGAGCGATTTGGCACCCGCGGCTATATTAGTCACGCAAAGGTATTCGCAAACGGCGATCCACATTTGCTCTCACCTGGACGAGAGCCACTCGCTACGAAACGGGAAACGAGTTTGCGAATCCCGGTGCCTTGGCTGCGATTGATGATCCATCGCATGACCGTTTCTGATGATCGTCGTACGACGTCTTATTTCCGTTGAAGGAAGAAAAAAATATCGAATTGTTCTTAGTATACTTATCTATCGCAAAACGTAGTATAAGTATAACAACCAGACTGTAGTCTGAATAATAGATAGCTCCTGAGTGGGATAGCAGGCTCCATTCTTACCCTCACCCTCAAATTCAGATATCTCGACCCACTCCAGTCTCAAGTCTAGTACGATGCCCGGAGTATGTATTACGCCTGAATCGCAGACGACGTTTAACTATCATTGCTAGCTGATCACTGTTGGTCACTGCTGACCACTGCTAACGAAAGGGGATGACTGTTGGCATCTATTGACAACCTCTAAGTATTACTGCTGGCCACAACTAGCTACAGCTGATCACTGCTAGTCACTGCTAACGACAGCAGATGCCAGCAGTCATCTGCTGACAACGTCTATGTATCACTCCTGGATGCTGCTAACCGCAGCTGATCACTGCTATCCACTTCTAGTCACTGATTACCGTAGTTGACCACAACTGACCACTGCTAACGACAGTAGACGATTGTTGGTAACTGCTGACAACCTGTACCTATCACTGTTGGCCACTACAAGCCACTGCAGGGCACTGCTAGTCACTGCTAGTCACTGTTGACCACTGCAAACCGCTGCTGACCACTGCTTGCATGTTAACATTTTTACCTGCAGTGGTCTGCAGTGGTCCAAAGTGACCAACAGTGACTAGCAGTGGTTATCAATTATCAGCAGTGGCTAGAAGTGGCCAACAGTGATAGGTACAGGTTGTCAGCAGTTACCAGCAATCGCCTACTGTCGTTAGCAGTTGTCAGTTGTGGTCAACTATGGTAATCAGTGACTAGAAGTGGATAACAGTGACCAACAGTGACTAACCGTGCCCTGCAGTGGCTTGCAGTGTCCAGGAATGATAGTTAGAGGTTGTCAGCAGTGGTCAGCAGTGACAAGCAGTGACTAGCAGTGATCAGCAGTGGCTAGCAGTAGCAGTGATAGAGGTCGTTAGAAGTTATTAAGAAGAAACATATAAGAGAAATATTTGTATCGATAATACAAAAATAAAACAGTAGCGTAGGAAGAATAAGTTGTTACAAAGTGCAAATTATTGATGCATTGAGTTAAAATAGCTAAAATATGAAATATTGAAAGTATATTAAACTTGTATGTCATAATACGATATAAATATTCTATTTACTCATTCCACAGCATTAGGTAGGTTCTTTTATTTTTGTTGCTTCGATATATTCCTGCAGATCTTTTCAGAAATTAGAAATGACGTACAACATCAAACTTATGATGATTGCTCGTCCTTTTATATACATCTAATTAATTTATTTGGATTAAGAATATGTTCATGAGTGTGAAATTCCATCAGCATGACGTAAATGCATTTCCCCTTGTAACGATTGAAAAATTTCATAATTTATACGACCCAGGAAACTACATTATTTATTACTGTACAACTACGTATTATAAAAAACTTCTCGTGATCATTACGTCTCTAAGTGCACTGATTTCCCTCTTAAAATGTTAACATGCATTTACGTTACTGTTTTAATTCCCTTGGGGTCAGCATCGATTTACGAATAGGTTAGGCATAAGGGCAAAGACCGTAGCGCAAAATCGATTGTCCACTAATAAAACAGGTTTCAGTTTAATTTTATCGGAGTTGCGAACGAATGGCGTTCTGTTTCGTAGCATCGTATGAAAACACTATGATCTGTTAGCTACACTGTTTCATCAAAAGAGATCCACATCAACTATTGAATAAAATCAAATTTAAGATTTGGTTACAAATTCACACGATCTATTTATTTTTAAATAATTTGTAGCCAAGACTCGTCAACGTTATTGCAAATCAGTGAAAAGACAAATGGCACGACTTACTTACAATTGTCAGATTATGCAATCACGCGTACAGAAAATATAAATTATGGGAATAAATCGAATTTACACGTTGTTCTAAATAAATTCAACTCAAGGTTGACCGCGAGTTATGCTCGCTGCAACCGTGTCAACTCGTTTGACCGAATTAGTTTTTGTCAGCGATTCTGGCAGCGCGAAGGTCAGCCTTATCGAAGATATTTCAAGCCACAAAAAAAGGTCGCCGAACGCTGGAAAGGACGCAATTTCTTTAGCCGTGACCTTGGTCGGGCGCCAGCGTTCACCCTTGCCCAGACAGTTCGCATAATTTCCCCTTTTCATTGGTTAGGGGCTGAAATAAACCGTCGTATCAAGCGAACGAGACGCCATTCGCTAGAATCCACGTCGAATTAAATTTCCAAAGTTACAATCGAGCATCCCTCGTAAATTCGTCCCCGTTCAATGAATCAGATTCTATCAGAAGCTTCTTAATGAATTTTGGCAGACTCGGTTCACGGTATCGCTGTAAATGTATATCTGTACCCGAAGCGTTTTCAAAAATATAGCGACACAAGATTCACCTTGGCAAAACAGAAATGGAAAATAATTTGTGCGAAAAACGTTTGGCACCGACCGTTTCGAACAGCTACGAATCATCAGAGCTGTTCGAACGACTGACAAAATTCTTCGAGGCGCGTTCAAGTATAGAAGCTAACGATATATCCGAAAATTTAAGCGAATCGTCGTTCCAAACGTCGTCCAATTTGGCCCCGAATGACCATTCTCGTTCGGTGGCTGGATCCGAGAAACTTTTTTTCGTCGAGCGGAGGTTTATTTATAAAATGGCGGTTCGTCGTGGTCCTCGACGGCGTCGCGGAGGAATTCTGTCTCGACGCCGCGGAAAACTTCAACGATTTCGCCATTCAACGTTTCCCCAGAGGGCAACGCCAGCAGGGGAGGACGATCTAAATCTCAGCCCGGTGTCAACTCGCAAGTTTTATGAGTCAAATCCGCCGCGGTTATGTAAGCCGGTTGACGCGGATTCGCCTAATTACCCCGAGATCTCGTGGTCGGTGCCAACAGACGTCGAATCGCTGCGCAGTTCACGATCATCGGGAAACCATTCGTTCGTTTCTCGCTTTCGTTGCAAACCGGTGAAAATTATTCCTTTCACTTATTTTTTTTAAATAAAAATTATTACTTTCTATATTTGATTTTTATTAAGGTTGTACCTTGAAGGGTCATTAGTAAGGATTGATATTCACGTTTATATAAATTACAATATTATTAAACATGGCCCAGTAAATGGATCAAAATGTTAAAATGTGACCGATTATTCTTATGAAAACTCGTTTTTTATATTCGTTATAAGATGGTGGAAATCATTCCCTTCTTTCATTTCCTTGCAATTGCAATTGTTACTTTTATTAAGGTTGAACCATGAAAGCTATTAGCTGGAGTTACTATTCACGTTTGTATAAATTACAAAATTCTTAAATATGGTTTAGTAGATTAATATGGTTCAAAATGTTAGAATGTGACTCATCATCCTTGGGAAAACTCGTTTTTTACTTTTGTTATAAGATGGTGGAAATTATTCCTTCCTCTTATTTTCTCACAATAATAATTATTATTTTTATTAAGGTTGTACTATGCAAGACCATTAACAAGGGTTGATATTCACATTTATATAAATTACAAAATTATTAAATATGGTTTAGTAGATTAATATGGTCCAAAAGAGTTTAGAATGTTATTCTTCATGCTTAGGAAAACTGATTTTCTACTTTTGTTATAAGATGGTGGAAATGATTCCTTCCTCTTATTTTCTCACAATAGTAATTATTGTTTTTATATTTGATTTTTATTAAGGTTGTACCTTGAAAAGCCATTAGCAATGATTGACATTCACGTTTATATAAATTACAAAATTATTAAATATGGTTTAGTAGATTAATATGGCCCAAAAGAGTTTAGAATGTTACTCTACATCCTTTGGAAAACTGATTTTTTATTTTCGTTATAAGATGGTGGAAATTATTCCTTTTTCTTATTTTCTTGCAATTGCAATTGTTATTTTTATTAAGGTTGTATTTTGAAAGATCATTAGCAAGGGTTGATATTCACATTTATATAAACTACAAAATTATTAAATACATAGTCCAGTGTATTAATATTTTTCAAAAAGTTTAAAAGATGGCTTTTCATCCTTGGGAAAACTCGTTTTTTATTTTCGTCATAAACTGGTAGAAATTACTTTTTTGCAATTTGAATTTCATTTTATATTTGATATTTATTAAGAGTAAACCTTCGCAGGCCATTAGCAAGAGTTACTATTTACATATACACAAATTACAAAATTTATCCTTTATTTATTATCCATGATGACTTCTTCTGTCCCTTTATTTCATACTCAAGTTCCTTTCACTAACATCGTTAATTTCTTCCAATTCTTCTTCTCTTCTAATCAAAATACAATAATCTACTTATCTTTCAATTTAAACCAACGTATGTCTCACATTTGTTTAATTTATACATAACGTTTCGTAACACAAAATAATTTCGATCAATTACTAATTATTTTATAAATACCAGGTGTTACTAGAAATGCTTTGCAATGGTTTGCATCGTCGATCATCGAACCTAACAAGTAATAATAACGTTTCAAAAATCACAATTTATTGTTTCGCGCGTAAAACAATTTTCGATCGTATTGTTCGAATTTTTCGCGTCGTACGAGACAGTTCCCTATTAAAATGAAGAGGAATTTCGGAATGCTGGGTCAGTTAATCATCGTAGTGTCCCGTCGTGAAGTTTATTCGTATCGCTTGGATGTTTACAAGGACGCGGCGTAGTCTTCATTCACACGAAACGAAACATCGCGCGAGCTCGAGAGCCCGTGGCTTCTGGAATTATTTATATCCCGCACGTGCTTGGGACCTGATCCGACGCGTTACGTTAGCTTCACACGGACATTCCGGACCGTTTTCTTGCATACGTTCCGGTCGGCGCTCTTCTTTTTTCCGCGGTGACAACGGCCCGCCAGCGAAAGAATGTCCACGGAGCATCGCCACTCGAAGGACGTCGATGAAAATCTCGATTAAATCGCGGTCGAATTCCTTCGAATTAATTTTAGAAACTTTGCAACGACCACGAACAGACCGGGGAAATTCATTGAGACAAAGGAAAAAAATTAAACCGCCCAACTATCGTCATTTTCATTTATTTATTTTACGCTCCCTATTTTTCACGAAAGATCGTATTGTAAAATAGTTTTGTTCGAGACTCTTTGGAATCGTAATTAAAAAGAATAATTTGGGAAGTTGTTAAAAATCCCTGAATTTTTCAGTGAAATAAATTCTTTGTAAATACTGTGAAAAATAGGGATACTAAAATTTTGTTCTATTCCGGGTACTTGACTTTAGCTTTTGGAAAAGATTGTATCGCTCGAATGATCGACGATTAACGCAAGAAATACGTTTCTGCATCTTTTTAACATAGATTTGTTTCCTATTTAAAAAAAAAAGATAGTGGTAAGGGGAAGATCTAAATTTTTTTTGGTTCTTTCACGCTACTCGAACGCGACTGTCCATTCGTAACTAAGTGGATACTATCAGTCATATGTCAGACGCCTTTTCGCTAAGAGCGCGCGCGTTCTAGGTGCCCGTCGAATATCAGACATTCTATACTGGTCAATTCCAGCAGCATATTTGGAATGTTTCAGAAGTTTTCACCCTTCTGGCACGACTCGACCTTTAATCTTAAATGTATATTAATATACGATAAAGCCCGTTGTTCAAATTTTAATAATTTTTTTTAAGGAGACATGTCACTGAGAAGGTGTTAAAAAATAGGCAAATACGATATCCACTATAATTAGATGATAAAATTTGCTTCGTAAATATAAAAATACACGGTTAAGTTTTTGCAATTAACAAAGGCACTTGAAGGATTAACACTTTGAGTGCCGGTCACCGGTGACCGACACGATGCTTTCTAGAAATGTTCATCCTAAATAAACTTCTCAATACCTAGATGATCTCAAATGAAAACTTTCACAATTTTGTACATATTTTTACTTTCTATAATCTATATAAACATATTAGGTATTAATACACTTGGACTTTGTTCTTTACACAGGGTGTTCGGCCACCCCTGGGAAAAATTGTAATGGGAGATTCTAGAGGCCAAAATAGGACGAAAATCAAGAATACCAATTTGTTAATGGAAGCTTCGTTAAAAAGTTATTAACGTTTGAATTTCCGCCAGTACAGAATTTTTTTCTCGAAAATGCGCAGGATTTCGGGGGTATGTCTACTCACCAAAAATGATTGCAATTGACCCCCGAAACCGAAAATAATTTTTTCACAATGATTTCAAACTTTTCAATTTTCAGGGTAACAGACAGTTATGGTCAAACATTATATTTTCAGTAATGAATTTTTTTCTCGAAACTGGGTAGGATTTCGGGGGTATGTTTATTGACCAAAAATGATTACAATTAACCCCCCTAGCTAAAAATAATTTTTATAGGACGATTAGAAATTTATTTTTTTCGCCGAATTTAGACACCCCTATCGATTTTTCTTAAAAATTCGTTTTTGATTTTTAGTAATTTGGTTTGACGCCCTATAGAAAAGTTGTGTAATACTTTTTTGTAGGTACCCATGAACTTTACTTCAGAAAAATCTTTCACTGAAATATATTCACTATTGTAGGAGTTATGGCTGTTTGAAAATTGGACCATTTTTATTGAGTTTTTCTCATTTTACAGGGTGAAGGAACAACTTTCTCAATATTGTTAGAATTCCTACATATTCTTCACTAAAATACGCGTTATTTGCCGTTTGATACATTGAAATCCTTCAATCCGTTCAGAAGTTATGACGTTTTAAAGATACGCATGAAATTTCAAGGCCTCACATTAGTTTTTCAGTAAGAAATTTTGTTATCGATATTGCGTTGAATTTCGGAGGTATGTGTAATAACTAAAAATGATTGTAATCGACCCCAGCAACCGAAAGTAATATTTTTAGAACGATTTGAAACACATGAAATTTCAGGGGAATCATTCATTCATGATCAGACATTATATTTTCAGTAATGAATTTTTTTCTCGAAACTGGGTAGGATTTCGGGGGTATGTTTATTGACCAAAAATGATTACAATTAACCCCCCTAGTTAAAAATAATTTTTATAGGACGATTAGAAATTTATTTTTTTCGCCGAATTTAGACACCCCTATCGATTTTTCTTAAAAATTCGTTTTTGATTTTTAGTAATTTGGTTTGACGCCCTATAGAAAAGTTGTGTAATACTTTTTTGTAGGTACCCATGAACTTTACTTCAGAAAAATCTTTCACTGAAATATATTCACTATTGTAGGAGTTATGGCTGTTTGAAAATTGGACCATTTTTATTGAGTTTTTCTCATTTTACAGGGTGAAGGAACAACTTTCTCAATATTGTTAGAATTCCTACATATTCTTCACTAAAATACGCGTTATTTGCCGTTTGATACATTGAAATCCTTCAATCCGTTCAGAAGTTATGACGTTTTAAAGGTACGCATGAAATTTCAAGGCCTCACATTAGTTTTTCAGTAAGAAATTTTGTTATCGATATTGCGTTGAATTTCGGAGGTATGTGTAATAACTAAAAATGATTGTAATCGACCCCAGCAACCGAAAGTAATATTTTTAGAACGATTTGAAACACATGAAATTTCAGGGGAATCATTCATTCATGATCAGACATTATATTTTCAGTAATGAATTTTTTTCTCGAAACTAGGTAGGATTTCGGGGGTATGTTTATTGACCAAAAATGATTGGAATTGACCCCCCTAGCTAAAAATAATTTTTTTAGAACGGTTTGAAATTTTTTAATTTAATTTTTTAATAACTTTTTAACGAAGCGTCAATCAAGAAATTGATATTCTTGATTGTTGTCTTATTTTGGCCTCTAGAATCTCCCATTAAAATTTTTCCCAATGGTGGCCGAACGCCCTATATATTGTACCCTCATGATTTACTATCTTATTTTACCCTTTATCCACACATTTAATTGTTAAATAGTTCGTTCAATGTTTGTTTCTCATTTTATAACTTAGATTATTCTATTCTGGTAGCCTCGAAGACGACCTCGAACGGTTGATTGAAAACGTTGAACGGAGAGAATTTATCGATTTTAATATAGCTAGTTTTATTCCTAATTTATTACGATGTTTACGTCGTTCGAGCGAATAAAATAATTCCGAAATCGCGCGTACGCGTATAGATCGCTGTCTCGGAGGCAGGAGGAAATTGAAGACGAAACGAGGCACGAATATCCACCTAATTTTCTGCGATCTAACCGTGAAGGATGAGTCCGAAGTGCACGGTCCATCGCAACACGGTCCAAACATTCTTTGACGCAGCAATAGATATTTTTACTATGCGGACGCATCTAGTATTTTGATAACAAATTCCTGAGGTGGCTTGAAATAAATTCTTGAAACAGCTTCACCGAGGCGAAGTTGCACTATTTCTTTTTAAGGGACATCTGCAATTCTTTATCAATTTCTAAACGCGAAAATAACTCCGATACAAACTACAGAAAATTGAGATTGTAATAGTAAATTATACATTTTCGATAGTCTTTTATTTTTGATAATTAAAATGTCATCGAGATTATTCACTCCATTGGTTGGGGACGCGATAACACGTGTGAAATGCAGTAAAATGCACGTATTGTTAGTATAAAACGATATGAGATAATTCCTCGAGCTTTCATATTTTTCAAACCGTAAGTCGAATAGCGTATACAATGGGAGTTGTTATTGCATTTGATATTGAATTTCTGATAAGTTAAACTGCAATTTAAGCTCTCTGGCGATTGATTAAACCCAGAATTAAATTTTATAATTATCGTTATCGTTAATCTCGCAATAAATAGTGTTCTAAGTGAGTCGTACATTTTCACGAGGCAACACAGAAGTTACAGCAAACTAATCATATCTCCATGGTTATTTAAATACATTAATAATCGCATAGTTATATGTAAAATCTTTTTTTTACGTAATCGTTACGACCCACTACGCACATTGATCCTCGTAAACCACTTTGCCAAGTACATGTTATCATCCATCTCCCGCTGGCTCGTGCATACACACCTGTTTTCCTAAGACTAAACAAATCTCGGAATTATCTAAGCCAGTGTTTCTCAGACCTCACCTTCCTATAGACTCACTAGAATAAAATTAAATTATAATTTCATCGATGTTATTTAAAACTGCTTTTTCTAGAGAAAATGTACTTATATTTTAATAAAAAAATTTTTTTCGTAAAACAACTTGAAAGAAGCAACTTTGATGGGTACAAAGTTTACACTTTCAGGGATCGTTTCAATTTTGAAACAAATTTCAGAGTAAAATAGAAGGCTCAACCTTTAAAACAATTGTAGGAATGGATGTGAATGTTTATTAACTAAATAATGTCTCGAGTGGATCTTCTGCAGAGTGTTTTTTCGAGTCTTCGAGAAAGTTATAGTGAGATTTGTATACTGCGTGTTGGACTTAATTTAAAAAAAGTTTTAGTTTTAAAAAAGCCTTTTCAATAATTAATTTGTTAATCTGTACACAATATTATTCTTTTAAGCGATCGGATGGTTTTGTGCACAGTAAAAATTACAATTTTAAACCGGTTTGATCGTGATTTGAGAGACACTGACCTAAATCGCTTCGAAGGACGGCTGTTCTCCCAAAATCTATTTCCAAATCGCGACGTTCCACGATACTACTCGGTAGCGTAAATTTCTTCCAAGACGCGGAACGTCATCCGCGGAATCCGACGAAGGCTCAAGTGGTCGTTCCATCGTCGTGAATAAACAAACTATCGAACCGGTCGTCGCGCGGTGCGTATGACTTCGGACGGCCATCTTTGTTCATTCTTCTTTTAGCGCGAACTTTCGAACGCGTTCCAAGTGGCTAGCGCGGGACTGACACCGTAAAAGGAGCATTCGTTGTCTGTCGGGCGAACTGGAAACGCGAAATTAGATCACAGTTTTTGCGTCGTCCGATGTGCACGGCCATCAATGAACGACCACGTCAGAGAGTTGCCCTCGAGATTCTAATAGTAAACGCGAAATTCCACAGCCGCGTACTCACTCTACGTCGCACGGCGGACGTTTCGCAGTAAATTTACTTGCGATGCGTCAGAGAATTCACTGTTTTCAAACGGGGGAGGTCCTCACCGATACGTGGGCCGCCTTCGAGTGATTCATTTCGTGCAACGAGTAGAAAGAAGTGTCTTTTTGGCTCTCTAAATTCCCGAGGAATGCGTTCCGAGAATATAGAAATATTTGGTCGAGTCACAAGTATAATTACTGACTTTTCGTACCAGCTTTTCTCTTTTGACTCGTGGGGTTGGTCCGTTTGGGGGTCACTTATGACCCACAGACTGTTCCAAATCGTTTGCTATATGCATTTCGTCCTGGGGTCTGCTAGTGGAATCAATAAAGGCAACCCACGATTATACTAGCAGGTCCTGCTTATTCTTTTATAACATACATTTGTTAAAAGCTTTATGAAGATATACAGGGTGTTCGGCCACCTCTAGCAAAAATTTTAATGAGCGATAGTAGAGGCCAAAATAAGACGAAAATCAAGAATACTAATTTGTTGATGGAAGCTTCGTTAAAAAGTTATTAACAATTAAATTCAAAAATTTCAAATCGTTCTGGAAAAATTATTTTCGGTTGCGGGGGTCAACTACAATCATTTTTGGTGAGTACACATACCTCCGAAATCCTATCTACTTTCGAGAAAAAAAATCGAGTAGGTGCTGAAATTTTTCGGCGAAAAAAAATTTTTCAAATCGTTCTAAAAAAATTATTTTCGGTTGCGGGGATCAATTACAATCATTTTTTATCATTACATATACCTCCGAAATTGTACGCACTTTCGAGAAAAAAATTCCTTACTGAAAATCCAATTAGGTGCCTAAATTTTTCAACGAAGAAAAAAAATTGCAAATCGTTGTGGAAAAATTATTTTCGGTTGCGGGAGTCAATTACAATCAGTTTTTGTCTTTAGACATACCCACGAAATCCTGCCCACTTTCGAGAAAAAAAATAGAGAAGGTGTGAAATTATTCGAGAAAATTAAAAAATTGCAAATCGTTGTGGAAAAATTATTTTCGGTTGTAGGGTTCAATTACAGTCATTTTTGGTGAATAGACATACCCCCAAAATCTTGCGCATTTTCGAGAAAAAAATTCAGTAAGGGCGGCACTTTAAACGTTAATAACTTTTTAACGAAGCCTCCATCAACAAATTGGTATTCTTGATTTTCGTCTTATTTTGGCCTCTACTATCGCTCATTAAAATTTTTGCTAGAGGTGGCCGAACACCCTGTATAGGGTGGTCCAAGCAATTGTTTCAAGTCATAACTCCGCTATTATTGCATTTACGAAAAAATGTCAAAGGAGAAAGATAAATGGTTCGAAGAGCACTACATCTGTAGGCCTTTAAATTTCTTTTAGATGCAGCAGTGCATGTGCAATTAACAATTGCATCATTTCTTTAAATAGAAATGCATATTTTTTTTTACACAGATCGATTCTTCTGTTCATTCTACGTAAAAAATGATTAGGGTACTATGGCAAAAAAATTATTAGATCTCGAGATATTTTCAAAAAATGTCTTTATTGAAGAAGATATATAGATGCATAAGTATGAAGAAGTATAATAGAGAATTCTTAGACTGAAGACTGTGTTTGAATGCTGGGTCGAGAAGCGTATATACATACAGAAATGTCGGTCAATTGCTTGCGAGAGAAACAAGTTGAGCATGGCCCTCTGCTGGCGAGTGCAGTAACTGTCGCCATAGATATTAGCCAATTACCGGACATAGTGTTTTGGTTTCCTCATTTTTTAGGGGCACATTATAATTTATTTTGTGATACTTAGGATTGTAGAATTGGTTATCCATCATTTTTATACATGTATACATTTTGTTAAGAACATTGTTATGAAGAGAAACACGTATTTCTTAATAAATATGAGACGAAGTCAAAAACATTTGAAACAAATAAATTTCTTATACTTTAAATTATACTTTCTTTTATTACTTAACAATTTATTGCAAAACTTTAAATACATTCTTGGATTTCGACAAATTTCTCTTACAAGCAACGAGGGTACGAATACTTATGAAACTTACAATATAGAAATAGGAGGTTGGTCAATTACTTGTGAGAGGAACAAGGTGAACGAAGCCCTCTGCTGGCGAGTGCTGTAACTGTCGCCACAGACATCAGACTGCAGGGCAAGAGGCCTAATTACTAGACATAGTGTGTTGGTTTCCGAATTTTTTGGTGGCATATCATAATTTATTTTGACATATTTAGGATTGTAGAATCGATTATGTGTAAATTTTGTTGAGAATATTGTTTCAAAAAGAAAAAAACAAATAAATTTCGTATACTTTAAATTATACTTTTTTTTATTACTTAAGTATCTTTGGTTTTGCTTTCTTCTTCTTTTTCTGGGCCCATAAAAAGCTTTTGGAACATTGTTCAAGGGGATACCAGAGGATGCTCGTCAATCTTCCTTGAATGATTTAGCGCCGATACGTTGCCGATCCAATTATTCCGGAACGGCGTTTTCTAAATTGGCTGGGTCCCGCGTGACGAGCGTGTGAAAATCTAAGAAATTCTAACGGCCGCCACGATGCCAAAAAGACACCGAAACAAGTGCCGGTTAACTCGTTTAACGAGGAGATCGCGTTACCGTGTTCTGATCGTCCCGAATTAACTTTCGACCAGGAACAGTTTATCAATGACAAACCGATGATCTACGAGCTGGATCGAGCCGGGGAACGAGCTTTTTACCGATCCATCGATTTCGAGCTTTAAAAATAGACGAACGCGTCACGATGCTAAAAAAAAAAATTTGCGATAGTTCGAATTCCTGAAGTCTCTAAAGAATTTTTGCAGGGCCTCATTTGCCCATCGAAAGACGATAGAAACAAAATTATTTTGCTTCTTTTACGAAAGTATGCACAGTTTCGATGATATAGCGCAAAAATTAAGAAATTGTGGCTAAGTTTTTTTTTGCTTCCTTCTGAATTGGTCTTTGAGAAATGAAATACGATAAAATGTCTGTTTTCGATGGTTGAAAATTGGAGACTGCAGAGTTTTTGGATCTAATGTCAACGCCCTTGATTGCCACAAATTAATTTCCACTTAACTTTCGTTGCAAATCGAAGAGAATGATGTTAAGGAAGTTTAGGTGGCATGAATTTTTGAAAAAATGCCCAATTCCGTAGCAATTTCTCTGAGTGGTTCTTGTAGACATAGTTAGACCGAAAGAGCCTATCGATCATTTTTTTTTTATCCATGTCAGTGGGGAACTGGATTGTTGCCAATGAGTGTGTCTCTAGCCAATACCTTATGAACGTTAATATACCATAAATTTATCGATCCAACTGTTTCTACATAAATCATTACCAAAACCCAAAATATTAAGTACTTTTTCGTTCGTCGAATAGCATTTATCAAAAAACGAGAATTTGTATCTCGATGTAACGTCACGATTTCATACTTTCCAGGTGATTCCATCCAAGACGAAAATATGGAATAAATCCATCTCGAACGAGACTTTGGTTTCAAAGTTTTAAACTTAAACAAGACTCGATCGTTTAAATAACAAATTGCACGCAAAATATTGAAATTTACGATCACGAAAACGTTCTCGTTCTTTTAACAATTACAAACGTTAGAATGGCCCAAGAGTGGTGCGTTCTCGAGGCGTTAAATATAGTTTCATTTGCCATTCGTGGCGCGTGAAATGAGTCGCGTTCGTCGGATAGCCGAAACGATTCGTAATTATGGCCACGTGCAATGGTTGGAATTTCATCGAAACACGTCGGTATTTAAAATTAGCCCGGGAATGCGATGATTCCCTCATATCGGTTCAAACGGGGATCGCCGTACTTGCGTATTTTCTCTTACGAATGGGCATCGTAGAGGTTTTCACGAAACTCGACGTTCCACGAACGATCTAATCTAATCTAACCCGTATAAACATAACAGAAATAAGCATTTCGAGTATTGATGACTATATTCCCATTCGTGGGTGCTGCTTTGCTGCAAAATCTTCTTGTAAACACGTGGTGTAGTTTACGACATGATTATCAGTTCAAAAATAAATTGCATTCCGAGTAGAAATTCCATAGTCTATTAAAAAGTTCCCGTCTTTTCCGAGTAACGGAAACGCTAATTAATTATAGAATTAATGTATATCTAATAGAAATGAGCTGGTCGTTAAAAGAAACTCCCACGTACAAATTAAGGAGCCTACGCTTTCCGTTGAAATAGACACGCCAAGTAATCGAAATTTCATCTTAGTTGGACAAAAATAGCAGACGTTATATAGGAATCACAAACACACAGATTTGGGAAAAATTCGATAACGAAAGGAAACAGGGCGATACACAAAATTCCACTTTACTTGGATAAAAATAGCTAGGGTAATGAAGAAATTACAAACCCACAGATTTGAACAAAATTCGATAACGAAAAGAATCATGGCGATGCACAGACTAAAATTTCATGTTACCTGGACAAAAATAGCAGAAGTTATAAAGCAATCACAAACCCACAGATTTGCGAAAAATTCGATTACAAAAAGAAACATGGCGATATACAGTCGGCCAACTAAACAAAATTCCATCTTACTTGGATAAAAATAGGGTTATGAAGAAATCACAATTCCACAGATTTGGGAAAAATTCAACAATAAAAAGAAACATGGTGATGCACAGACTAACCAAATAAAATTCCATGTTACTTGGATAAAGATAGCTAGGGTTATGAAGAAATTACAAATCCACAGATTTGAACAAAATTCGATAACGAAAAGAAACATGGCGATGCATAGACTAACCAAATAAAATTCCATCTTACTTGGACAAAGATAGCAGGAGTTATAAAGCACCCACAACCCCATAGATTTGTGGAAAATTCAATTACAAAAATGAACATGGCGATATACAGTCCATCAATTAAATAAAATTCCATTTTACTTGCATAAAAATAGGTAGGCTTATGAAGACATCACAAACCCA